TTCCCAAATCCATCAATCTGGGAAATGGGAACAAGCTCTGCCCCGTTATTTCCATTAAGAAACAAAACCCCAAATGCACCCCCTGCTCTCCAAAAAAAATGGGATTTTCTGTAGGAAAATGAACCCAAAAGGATCAATCGAAGCCTTTTCTCTCCCTTCCAAATCCATTTTTGCCCTGAAGTTGTTCCGAACCAGACACAAAATCATCAATTCCAGGTGAGAACCTTTTGTCTGCCTGGATTTTCTTTTTTCCCCCTCTATTCCCAAATAATTCCGTTAAATATTTAAAGATCCTATTCAGCAGAACGGAAAAGGAACGGAGAATTCTGCTTTTTTTTCTTTTTAAAAAACCCAGATTTCCTTTTTGAGGGAAATCTTTTGCATCCCATTTTTTTTTTTAATGGGAACACTTTGCTGCTTTTTAGCTTTTGGGATTCCTGGCCCTAAAAGGAATCACAGGGAGYGAGGACAGCGGGATTTTTCCTCTTTTAAAACGTTCCCAAAGATTGTTTGATCCCCTAAAAAAGGGAGCAGCAGCAGGACCGGGGCACAAAGGAATAAATTTATTATTTAATTGATTTATTTATAGGGAGATTTTCCATCCCCTGAGGGAATTTCAGCGTCTCTGTAACGTTCCTGTGCCTGATCCTAAAGATTCAGTTCCCTGTAATTTCCTCAAACCCATCCCATCCATCCCACCCCATAAATCCCATCCAATAAATCCCATAAATCCCATCCCCACCTGGAGCTGATTCACCCAATCCATCCAAAAAACCCCATTTTTCACCCCAAACCCGATATTTTAGACCCAAATTTTGATCCCAATGAGGTGATCCCGTCACTCCCTAAACGGGGCAATGGGATTTTCCCTTTCTGCAATGGGATTCACCCTTCAGCAATGGGATTTTCCCTTCCAAGAGCAGGATTTCCCTTCCAACAATGGGATTTTCCCTTCCAAGAGCAGGATTTCCCTTCCATGAATGGGATTTTCCCTTCCATCAATGGGATTTTCCCTTTAGAAATGGGATTTCCCTTCCAGGAGTGCCATTTTCCCTTTCATCAATGGGATTTCCCTTCTATCAATGGGATTCACCCTTCAGTAATGGGATTTTCCTTCCAAGAGCAGGATTTCCCTTCCAACAATGGGATTTTCCCTTCCAGCAATGGGATCTTCCCTTCCTGCAGTGGGATTTCCCTTCCAGGAGTGGGATTTTCCTTCCATCAATGGGATTTCCCTTTCATGAATGGGATTTCCCTTTCATCAATAGGATTTCCCTTTCATCAATAGGATTTCCCTTTCATCAATGGGATTTCCCATCCATCAACAGGATTTTCCCTTCCAGCCATGGGATTTTCCCTTCCATCAATGGGATTTCCCATCCATCAATGGGATTTTCCCTTCCAGCAATGGGATTTCCCTTCATCAATGGGATTTCCCTTCATCAATGGGATTTCCCCATCCATCAATGGGATTTTCCCTTCAGCAATGGGATTTTCCCATCCATCAATGGGATTTCCCTTCCATCAACAGGATTTTCCCTTCATCAATGGGATTTTCCCATCCATCAATGGGATTTCTCCTCCATCAATGGGATTTCCAATCCATCAATAGGATTTCCCTTCCATCAATGGGATTTTCCCTTCAGCAATGGGATTCCTGCCCCCAGTGGGATCAGGGATGGGAACTCACGTCGATGTTGTCGATGTCCAGGATCCTGGAATGGAACTGGAGCCCCAGGGCCTTGGCCTGCTGGATGGGATGGGCCAGCTGGCTGTAGGTCTGCAGGGAAAACCAGTTTGGGACTGGGAACTGGGCGGGATTGGGAATGGGAATGGATTGGGAATGATTTGGGATTGATTTGGGAACTGGTAGGAATTGTGAATGGTTTGGGAATGGGAATGGATTTGGGATTGGGAACGGTTTGGGATTGGTTTGGGAACTGGTAGGAATTGGGAATGGTTTGGGATTGGGAATGGTTTGGGAATGGGAACGGTTTGGGATTGGGAATTGTGCGGGATTGGGAATGGTTTGGGAATTGTTTGGGATTGGGAATTGTTCAGGATTGGGAATGGTTTTGGAATGGATTTGGAATGGTTTGGGATAGGGAAAGGTTTGGGACTGGGAATTGTTTGGGATTGGGAATGGATTTGGAATGGATTTGGAATGGTTTGGGAATGGGAATTGTTCAGGACTGAGAATGGTTTGGGATCGGCAATGATTTGGGATTGGGAATGGTTTGGAATTGGGAATTGTTCGGGACTGGGAATTGGTTGGGATTGGGAATTGGGAATAGGGAAAACCAGGGAAAACCAGGGAAAAACTGGGAAAAACAGTGAAAATAGGAAAAAACACAGAAAACCTCAGAAAAATGGGGAAAACCAGGGAAAATCAGAAGATTCTCCGCTCTCAGATTGGATTATTGGCATAAAAAAGGGTTTATTAGGGTTTATTAAATAGGAAAAAACAGCCTCTCCCGGCCCTCTGGTGGTGGGGAACAGCACTGGGAATTCACTGGGAAAAATGCAGCTTTTGGGATGGAACAGCAGAATTATTTGGGATTTTAGACCACAACTATTTGGGATTTTACAGCAGAATTATTTGGGGTTTTACACCATAATTATTTGGGAATTTAACCCATAGTTATCTGGGATTTTACACCACAATTATTTGGGATTTTGGGAAGCTGCACATTCACAAAGCAGAAAAAAAACCCTCAAAACAGCCCCGTTTTCCAGGGAAAATCCCAATTTTGGGGCCGTTTCGGGAGCTGCACTCACCGCCTCGTAGCACCAATCCTTGAGGATGTCRAGCTCCCCGCAGATCAGAGCCTGGAGAGGAAATCAAACCACATTTTTGAGCTGTTCCCCTATCAAAGTGGGAAAATCCACAAGAAAACCCTTCAAATCCTACATTTTGTGGGATATTTTTGTGACAGGGATCTGTCACATCCATTGGCATTGATCACCTCCCTCCAAAACCCCAAAAACATCAAATTCCAGACACTTCAGCGAGCACTGAACCATTTCCCAAATCCCAGTTTGGATTTGGAATTGTTTGGGAYTGGGAATTGGTAGTGGGAATTCATTTCCCAATTCCTTCCCCAAATCCGTTCCCCATTCCTTTCCGATTCCTTTCCCAATTCCTTTCCCAATTCCATTCCGAAATCCTCTCCCAATTCTTTTCCCAATTCCTCCCCCAGTTCTGTTCCCAATTCCTTCCCCAGTTCTATTCCCAATTCCTTTTCCAATTCCTTTCCCAATTCTGTTCCCAATTCCATTCCCAATTCTTTTCCCAATTCCTCCCCCAATTCCTTCCCCAATTCCTGTCCCAACTCCTTTCCCAGTTCCTTTCCCAATTCTGTTCCCAAATCCTTCCCCAGTTCCTTCCCAATTATTTTCCCAATTCCTTTCCCAATCTGTTCCCAATTCCATTCCCAATTTTATTCCAAATTCCTTTCCCAATTCCATTCCCCAACTCCTTCCCCAATTCCTGTCCCAACTCCTTTCCCAATTCCTGTCCCAACTCCTTTCCCAATTCCTTTCCCAGTTCCTTTCCCAATTCTGTTCCCAATTCCTGTCCCAATTCCTGTCTCAATTCCTTCCCCAATTCCTTTCCCAATTCATTCCCCAATTCTTTTCCCAATTCCTTTCCCAATTCCTCCCCCAATTCCTCCCCCAATTCCTCCCCAATTTCTCTCCCAATTCCTCCCCCAATTCTCTCTGCGGAGCTGGAGAACCCAATCCTTTCCCAACCTTTCATTTCAGCCCCAGACAATCAAAACCCCGATATTCCAGGGGCTCAAAAAGGTAAAAAAGGCAGGAGAGGAAGGGATCCCCCACTACCTCGAGGACGTTGGGGATGATGTCGCGCTCGCACTGCTTCAGGAAGCGATCCTTGTCAAAGGATGGATCCACCTTGAGGATCTCGGTCAGAACCTCGGACATCTCCGTCTTGGAGAACAGTCCCCCTAAAAAACAGCAATGTGTGGGGTGATGGCATGGCAGGATAGGGACAGCCCCCCTAAAAAACAGCTCCGTGTGGGGTGGGGACAGTGCCCCTAAAAAACAGCTCTGTGAGATGGGGGCATGGTAGGGACAGCCCCCCTAAAAACAGCAACGTGTGGGACACAGACCCAGGGATGGGGACAGCCCCCCTAAAAAACAGCTCCATGGGATGGGGGCATGGCCCCGGGGACGGGGACAGCCCCGGTAAAACCAGCTCTGCTCTGTAAAACCAGCTCCAAGAATAGTTCCAGTAAAACGAGCTCCAGGGACGGGGACAGCGCCGGTAAAACCAGCTCCAAACACAGCCCCTGTAAAACCAGCTCCAGGGACATCCCTGGTATAACCAGCTCTATGGGGCGGTGGCACAGCAGGGACAGAGCAAAGGGAACAACTCCAGCCTTGGGTGCATCTGAGATTTACCCACCCTGGGGTGATCCTCATGCCCATCACCCAAAAAAAGATCCCTGCAAAGCTCTGGAATGTTCCCCAGAGCTGGAAGCAAATGGAGGGAGCAGCAGGAGCAGCTCCAGGGGCTCAGGGCAGAGCTGGAGCAGCTCCAGGGGCTCAGAGCAGCTCCAAAGTGGGGCTCAGAGCAGCTCCAGGGGAGCTCAGGGAAGAGTTGGAGCAGCTCCAGGGTCTCAGAGCAGCTCCAGGAGGGTCTCAGAGCAGAGATGGAGCAGCTCCAGGGGGGCTCAGGGCAGAGCTGGAGCAGCTCCAGGGGCTCAGGGCAGTTCCAGGGTCTCAGAGCAGCTCCAGGGGGACTCAAGGCAGAGATGGAGCAGCTCCAGGGGGGTTCAGGGCAGAGCTGGAGGAGCTCCAGAGGGGGCTCAGAGCAGAGCTGGAGCAGCTCCAAGGGCTCTACACCCCCAGCCATGGCCGTACCGATGAGGTCGGTGACGCGGTCGGTGACAGCGCGTGACGCTCGGATGAAGGCGTTGTCGCTCTCGTCGTATTTCATCTTCATCTCAAAAAACCCTGCACGGGGACAAACAGCACCTCAGGGTGCTGCTTTTCCCTACTTTTTTCCCCATTTTTCTCCCAATTTTCTCTGGATTTTTCCTCATTTTTCTCCCCGTTTGTCTCTCTCATTTTTCTCCCTGTGTTTCTCCCCATTTTGCTGTTTTTCTTCCCATTTTTCTTCATTTTTCCCCTGTTTTCTTCTCCATTTTTCTCCCTGTGTTTCTCCCCATTTTTCTGTTTTTCTTCCCATTTTTCTTCATTTTTTCCCCTGTTTTCCTCTCCATTTTTCTTCCCGTTTTCTTCTCCATTTTTCTCTCCATTTTCCTCCCAATTTCTCCCCATTTTTCTCCCCCTTTTTCTTCATTTTTCTCTGCTTTTCTCCCCAATTTTTTTCCATTTCCCCCCATTTTTCTCCATTTGCCCCCATTTTTCTCTGTATTTCTCCCCTATTTTTCTCCATTTTTCTCCGTTTTTCTCCCAATTTTTTTCCCTTTCCCCCCATTTTTCTCCCCAACTTTTCTCTGTTTTCTCCCAATTTTTCTCCCCATTTTCCAAGCACTCACTGTTAAAAACCACGTTGTTGTCCTTGAAATCTTTCCACTGCTGGTACCACTTGGAGTCTTTATGCAGCACCATGCCCATGGCTTCCCTGGAGAGGGCAAAAAAAACCGGGATAAAACCTGAATATTTGGGAAAAATGAACTTGGAACGAAAAAAGAGAAAATCCCTGCCGAGGCTGAGCCAGCATAAAAATGATGAGGTCAATAATGAGATAAATTAGAGGTTTAATAAATAAATGATGAGATAAATTATAGCCCTATAAATGATCCAGATAAATAAAATAGCGGATTAAAAAATTAAAATTTTTTTTAAAAAATTAAAAAATAAAAACAGGTAGTGAAACATCAAATCAACAAAATTTCAGATAAATAAAAGCCCGGATAAATGAAATATCAGATAAATAAAACTCCAGATAAATAAAACCTCAGAGAAATAAAACCCAGATAAATAAAACCCTAAATAAATAAAACCCCAGACAAATAAAATTTGACCCAAAGGAGAAAAGCAGCAAAGAAAAAAAAAAGAGCTCAGGCTCAGCCCAGCCCAGCAATTCTGCAACAAAAAATTAAAACTGAGAGCACAAAACAAAAAAATTAAAACTGAGAGCTCAAAACAAAAAGAAATTGAAACTGAGAGCACAAAACAAAAAAATTAAAACTGAGAGTACAAAACAAAGCTCAGCTCCAAATTCACCTCTGAACATTAAACCTGAACTATGAAATTTGAAATTTCTGGAAGATTTGGGATTGTCCCAGTGGCTCCTGGATTTTAATCTATTTTGATTTTTTTTTTTAATCTATTTTGAATTTTTTTTAAATCTATTTTTTGAAATTTTTTTAATCTATTTTGAATCTTCTTTTTAATCTATTTTGAATTGTTTTTAATCTATTTCGAATTTTTTTGTATCTATTTTGTAATTTTTTTTAATATATTTTGAATTTTTTTTTAATCTATTTTGAATTTTTTTTTATTTTTTAAATTTATTTTTTTAATTTATTTTTTTGAATTTTTATTTTTTAAATTTTTTTTTGACCTATTTTGAATTTTTCCATCAAATCAAACACAAAATTAACCCCCCAAAAAAACCCCAGACTCACTCGTTGGCCTCGAACACTCKCTGCTCTTTGCTCCTTTCTCCGGAATATTCCGTCCGTTTCCGCAGCCGCTCCGGCCGCTTGTACGGCCCCGTCTGACCCAAAACGCTCTCATCGAGTTCCTTCTTCACCGTTTCCACTCCCTGGAAAGGAAAAAACCTCGTTAGTTTTTTGTAAATATCTGGAAATTGCTCCTGAGATGGTTTTGGAGAGCAAAAAATGTCCTGGATGCCCCCAGGGAAAAAAAATATTGGATTTTTTTCTGAATTTCCTGCAAGAAAAGGGATTTCAGAAAGCCCAAAATTCCATTGCAGAAACAAAATATTGGATATTTTCTGTATTCTGATTTCAGGAAGCAAAAAATCCCTGATTTTTGGCCCAAAACGCTCTCATCGATTTCCTTCTTTACCGTTTCTACTCCCTGGAAAGAAAAAAAACCCGTTAGGTTTTTGTAAATATCTGGAAATTCCTCCTGAGATGGTTTTGGGAGAGCAAAAAATATCCCAGGGATGGTTTAACCACAGCCTGACAACAAAATATTGGATATTTTCTGCAAGAAGAGGGATTTCAGGAAGCCAAAACCCCACTGAAGAGACAAAATATTGAATATTTTCTGAATTTCCTGCAAGAAAAGGGATTTCAGGAGCAAAGACCACAAAACATTGGATATTTTCTGTATTCCCTGCAAGAAAAGGGATTTCAGGAAGCCCAAAATCCCATTGCAGAGACAACAAAACACGGGATATTTTCTGTATTCTGATTTCAGGAAGGAAAAAACCCCACTGAAGAGACAAAATATTGGATATTTTCTGAATTCCCTGTAAAAAACGGATTTCAGGAAGCCAAAATCCCATTGCAGAGACAAAAAACATTGGATATTTTCTGTATTCCCTGTAAAAAAGGGGATTTCAGGAGAAAAGACAACAAAATATTGGATATTTTCTGAATTCCAATTTCAGGAAGCCAAAACTCCATTGAAGAGAAAAAACATTGGATATTTTCTGAATTTCCTGAAAGAAAAGGGATTTCAGAAAGCCAAAATTCCACTGAAGTGACAAAATATTGGATATTTCCTGAATTTCCTGCAAGAAAAGGGATTTCAGGAAGCCCAAAATCCCACAAAACATTGGATATTTCCTGCATTTCCTCCATCCTCACCCTCCCAGCCCTGCAATCCTCGCTCTCCCGAGCGCACCCACGGGTGCTGGGTGACATTTTCACAGCCAGGAGTGTCCCCAAGGTGTCCCCGAGGTGTCCCAAGGGTGTCCCCAGGGTGTCCCCAAGATGTCCCCAAGATGTCCCTGAGGTGTCCCCAAGGGTGCCCCCAAGGTGTCCCCAGGGTGTCCCCAGGGTGTCCCCAGGGTGTCCCTGAGGTGTCCCCGAGGTGTCCCCAAGGTATTCCCAAGGTGTCCCCAAGGTGTCCCCAAGGTGTCCCCAGGGTGTCCCTGAGGTGTCCCCAAGGTGTCCCCGAGGTGTCCCCAAGGTATTCCCAAGGTGTCCCCAAGGTGTCCCAAGGGTGCCCCCAAGGTGTCCCCAGGGTGTCCCCAGGGTGTCCCCGAGGTGTCCCCGAGGTGTCCCCGAGGTGTCCCTGAGGTCCCCCCAGGGTGTCCCCAAGATGTCCCTGAGGTGTCCCCAAGGTGTCCCCAAGATGTCCCCAGGGTGTCCCCAAGATGTCCCCGAGGTGTCCCCAAGGTGTCCCCAGGGTGTCCCCGAGGTGTCCCCAAGGTGTCCCCAGGGTGTCCCCGAGGTGTCCCCGAGGTGTCCTCAAGGTGTCCCCGAGGTGTCCCCAAGATGTCCCCAGGGTGTCCCCGAGGTGTCCCCAAGGTGTCCCCGAGGTGTCCTCAAGGTGTCCCCAAGGTGTCCCCAGGGTGTCCCCAGGGTGTCCCCAAGGTGTCCCCGAGGTGTCCCC